AGATCAAATATAAGAATAAGAATAGAATTTTATTGGTCAAGTGTGATTGGACACACAAGGAATTTGTCTTTGCTGCATATGCTCTCAGCGTACATAAAAAGACAAGATACATTCGTCAAGAATCATAAGGTACAACACTTAATGATAGTCATAGGGTACAAATAAGCAATCAAATCATATTAGGAAACAGTCAATATAAATCGTAAGGATACCAGCAACAAGTTACAGTCATGCAGTCCTAAGTGGGAGGAGATGGGTGGTGGGAACGATGAGAAGATTAATAGTAGTGCAGACTTAGGAAATAGTTTGACAGTGTTGAGGAATTGTTTGTTTAGCAGAGTGATGGCGTTTGGGAAAAAACTGTCCTTGTGTCTAGTTGTTCTGGTGTGCAGTGCTCTATAGCGTCGTTTTGAGGGTAGGAATTGAAACAGTTTATGTCCAGGATGCGAGGGTCTGTAGATATTTTCACAGCCCTCTTTTTGACTCCTGCAATAGACAGGTCCTCAATGGAAGGCAGGTGGGTAGCCATTGTTTGAAAGTATCATTTCACTGTATTGAAAATATCATTTCACTGTACCTGTGGACTTGGTTTCAGCATCCTCAGCTTGATATCTGAAAAATGGGGATAATGAAAGAGGAAGGAAGGAAGGAAGGAAGAAGGAAGGAAGGAAGGAAGGAAGGAAGGAAGGAAGGAAGGAAGGGATTGTCTTTCATTGCATCTTCAGAAAACCGCTCATTTCAAAGAGCCCTTGCTGAAATACATCTTTTGCATGGTTACTTAATTACATCAGATCTTTCACTGATTTTTATTGCTCCAAGGAATTCAATGATTAGATAAAATTGCCATTCTGAGATACAAGGTTGCCCACGTTGCTATTTTTAAAAAAAAAGTCATGTTAGTTTAATTAAGTATTATCACTGCGCTTTATCTTATTAAAGTATCGGTTAATAAGAGCCAAGAAGTGGGATTTAATTTCACTTTTGATCCAGCGTGCTTTTAACCTGTGTTCTTTTTATCCTTGGCCCTTAGAAACGGTGTGAGGAAATTATACAAAGGACATCATTTGTTTTCTCTTTTCCCTGTTTTTGCAACTGAGACATCAGCTTTTCCTTGACAGAAGGCAAGTGCAAAGGAAGATATATTTATTTTTTTTAATTCTCTGAGGCTGATCCATTCAGCTCCCTTGAATGGCAGGACACCCATAGCTGGAATTATGGCAGAATGAAAAATTCACATTTTAAACATTGCAAGTGCCAATATAGGATTTCTCTCTCCATATAAATAATTGTGGGGGGATGGGGATGGAGGAGTTTGTATTTTGCCCTAATCTTAGAATTCCAACTCTGTGTTAGGAGTCAGGATAGACTGGTACAAAATGCGGTAGATGGGGAAACTCTTTGGCCAGTGGAACTCCAGGCAGGTGACTCCCCTCTGCCCCCAAAGGAAGGAAGGGCTCTGGTCTTAGCTACATTCTGCCAGAAAATCTGAATCTATTGTGCGTGGGCGAGTGTTTGTGTGTGTTGAGAACTTGCTCATGAAGAAAATACAGGACTCATCTACCACACGCAATGCAGAAGACTAGCAGAAGGCCTCCACGAAAACCAACGGCCCCAGCCATCGGACCATGTGGTCAAAACTCCCTAATCTCACAACCCATGGACAGAGTCAGCCATAGTCCCATGAAAGGGAAGGGAAGGAAGACTATTGAGAAGGGAAGGGAAAGGGAAGGGAAGGAGGGAAGGGAAGGAAGGGGAAAGGAAAGGAAAGGAAAGGAAAGGAAAGGAAAGGAAAGGAAAGGAGGAAGGAGAATGGGAAAGGGAGGAAGGGAAAGAACGAAAGGAAAGGAAAGGAGGAAGGAGAAAGAGAGGAAAGGAAAGGAAAGAAGGAAAGGAAAGGAAAGGAAAGGACAGGACAGGACAGGACAGGACAGGACAGGACAGGAAAGGAAAGGAGGAAAGAAGGAAGGAAAATGGGAAGGGGAGGAAGGGAAAGAAGGAAAGGAAAGGAGAAAGAAGAAAGGGAGGGAAGGAAAGGAAAGGAAAGGAAAGGAGGAAAGAAGGAAGGAGAATGGGAAGGGGAGGAAGGGGAAGAAGGAAAGGAAAGGAAAGGAAAGGAAAGGAAAGGAAAGGAAAGGAAACAGGTGCTTCAGCAAGTGGCGCACTGGATTCGTATTAGTGGTCTGCGAAATTTAAAATTATGAACTTGGTGGTCCCTGAGGTCCAAAAGGTTGGGGACCCTGCTCTGGAGGATTTAAGTAGCTTAACTGTGCTTGCTTGTCAATACCAGAATTACAGAGTTGGAAAGGGACCTTTGGAGGTTTCTAGTCCAGAGATCTCCAACCTTGGCAACTTTCTTTGCCTGGGCCTGATGCTTCCTGAGAGGCAGGGGGTCTCTCCGAATGGGACCCCCTCCCCAAAAGGCTGGCCCCAAAGCCCTAGCTCAGAGGTCTTCAAACTTGGCAGCTTTAAGACTTGTGGACTTCAACTCCCAGAATTCTCTAGCCAGCAGAGCTGGCTGGGGAATTCTGGGAGTTGAAGTCTGCCAGGCTTAAAATTGCCAAGGTTGGAGATCTCTGGACTAGAAGATAAATGATGGCATAAATGATGACCGGTCAAAAGTGCGAGGACCTGTCAGAAATTACTTTTTTCAGCCTCTGGATAGTCCCTATGTGCATATGGAGACTACTCAGAGGGCTGAAAAAGTTATTTTGGACCGGTCCTCGCACTTTTGACCAGTCCTTGAATTACGACTGTCCCACATTTCATTTTACCTATCTTGTCACCATGGTGAGAAAAGTTGAATGATTGACGGTTGTTTGCCACACATAATGTGATGTCATTACGTCATGCAAGGACTGTCTGAAATCACTTTTTTCAGCCTCGAGGTGACATGGACTACTCAGATGAAAAAGATTTTTGACTGCTGCACTTTGACCAGTCCTCGAATTTATGACTGTCCTCACATTTTAGTTTTTTGGCCTATCTTATCACCATGGTGAAGAGAAACAGTTGTGAAATGAGTGACATGGTTGTTAAGAATGCTGCACGGGCATAAATGAGAGGATGGTCATAAGTGTGAGGCCCAGTCAAAAGTGTGAGATCTATCAGAAATGACTTTTTTCAGCCCTCTGAGTAGTCCCTATACACATAGCCATGGCCACCCAGTCACATGACCAGCTAATCACGCCTACCCAGTCACATGACCTCCAAGCCACACCCACAAAACAAGCCACGCCCACAGAACCGATAGTAAAAAAATTTAGAACCCACTCCTGGTTGGGGTCACCACAAAATGAGGAACTGTATTAATGGGTTGCGGCATTAGGAAGGTTGAGAACCACTGCTTTATGCTTTCTTTAGAAAAAATATGTATATGTATGATCAACTATGGATAAGAGAATGTATATTTACAATATATGTATAAGAATTTTTTTTTAATTCCAAAAAAAAGTTTTGAAGGTGAAGTAAGACTCTTGTGCATTTACTACTTGGATATGCCCGCTGATTGATTGTTTCACTCATTGATTGATTGATTGAGTTTTCTACCAATTTTTTCTGGAGTATTTTTCTGAGTTGCCAAGGTAACCCATCAATGTATAACCCTAATTAGGGTCATCAGTCATTGTTAAATTATTTTAAATCATTACACAATCAAAGAACACATGCATGGCCATGTCACAGCCTATGTAGTACTGAAGTTAATTAAAGTATGATAATCACACTTACCATGTATAACAAGGGGTAGCTATCACTTCACCTGACATATACTCCCAATCCTTCCACATGCATGGACAACTATCAGGCACATAACATTTTCCTTTATGTTTGGCCATCCTTTGAAATAGTAAAAGCATAAATTTGAAAAAAAAAATAACTATCCATATACTGTATATTTGTAATCTTTTTTATATAGAAATTGCAGATATAAATTCTGTTCTAGTTGACTCAATGGTCAAAAAGTAGAGCAGAGATAGCTTTTGAGTTCTATAGAAATCACTATTGGGTCACATGGTAAATATATTTTGAAACAGAAAAACAAGAAAGTTGAACTTGGAATCTTTACACATAGCTTTATGGTGAAATGGACAAACAGATCTTCAATCAGGCTGCAGCTTTGGTTTCTTCAGGCTTCCCCTAGAACTCTCAGAAAGAGTACTTTTGTTGTGATCTAGGCTTACTGAGTCATTACAAGACACAATTAGTCCCTAATAAACCTATTTTATTGTAACAGCTGAGAATTACGTTCATTCCCAGCTGAGACCCAATTAGTCGCAAAACAAGTCCTTTGGAAGAAGTCCTTTGGGATAATCACCAAACTTTATCTTTTTTGACACCCTGCCAAAGGCCTTATTTGGCAAAGCCCCACGAAGTTCAGAAACAAACAAGAGACGCCTACTGGAAACAGAGTTAACAACGCTGCTTTTCTGCAAAAGGCCCAAGTGCCTTTGTTTCTCTTTTAAGCCTTATGGGAGGGGCCAATCATCTCCTGGCGTTACTCCTGAGTAGTCCATTTTGCTTTAGCTGCTCTTGCCTTCTGGCAGCTCTGTACATGTGTGCACTAGGAACAGGCTCCTCCTGTTCCTCTGCCGTCTGACTCTGGAGGCTCCGGAGTCTGTGCATCACTCCCAGATGGCCCTGGCCCCATCTCTGCCTCCGACGCAAGCCTTCGTCCGGGCCTTTCCCAGACTCCAGGACTGGCCTATATTCCTCCCCAGCCTTCTCACTGTCCTACTCTGCTGCCAGCTCCACAGGCTGCTGGCGGACCACAAACAACTTTTTATTGAAAATGGGTTTATCCATTTGATAAGCTGTAGGCTTATCTATTAAATTTCTTGCCTAAAAGAAAGCCTATAGTACTGCTGTAAAATCTCTGTGCGTTCAGAGTAGTTGGGAATAATTAAAAATAATACAATAGTCAGAGAAACATATATTCATCTGATCTTTGAATACATTTGCTGTATCCCACAGTGACTTTTGGTATCACTTACCCAGGGGGACAGATGCAACCATTCAAACATGGTGGAGAAGGTGTACAGGTAAAGTTCATAGCAATATTTATACATGTTAGTTCACAGTTTATTCCAGCTGATGGCAAGCCAGGTATATGAGATTGGCAGTCATAGTAGATCTTTCCATCAGGACATGAGTGCACTATGGATATGAAATGCAAATGATATATAATAAATTTACATTTATATTTCCCATTATTTAAACTTAGTGCTTAGGTTTGCTGTCTAACACTGTACATTTTCAGTAATATGCCCTAACTGAATATCCTTCTAACATCATATATAATAGTAATTTTTAAAAGATTAAGCATTCTTCAAATTGAGTTCAATTCTTCATGGACACATTTGTGATTTATCTATGATTTTTTCTGCCCCAATTTCCTAGCTAGCCTGTAGCCTTGGATTTCTCCAAAGGCTCCTACCCAAGTACTAATCAGCCCCGACATTTTTTTAGCTTCTAAAACTAGATAAGGGTCAGCCAGAGCTACAGCCCTTTTCTTAAATTGTAGGTGGCTAATGTTTCTTCTGTGGGGTGTGGTGGCTCAGTGGCTAAAAAGCTGAGCTTGTCGATTGAAAGGTTGGCAGTTCAGCGGTTCGAATCCCTAGTGCCGTGTAATGGGGTTAGCTCCTGTTACTTGTCCCAGCTTCTGCCACCTAGCAGTTCAAAATCACGTAAAAAATGCAAGTAGAAAAATAGGGACCACCTTTGGTGGGAAGGTAACAGCGTTCCGTGCGCCTTTGGCATTTAGTCATGCCAGCCACATGACCACAGAGATCTTCAGACAGCGCTGGCTTTTCAGCTTTGAAACAGAGATGAACACCGCCCCCTAGAGTCGGGAACGACTAGCACATATGTGCGAGGGGAACCTTTACCTTTACCTTTAATGTTTTTTCTATTTAAGGGCAGATAGAAAGATAAAGATAAAGATACAAAGATAAAGATAGAAAGAAAAGATTAAAGATGTTTAAGGGCAGATAGATAGATAAGGCTGAAAATAATGGCTTACAAAGAGCTATGCAGAAAAAGATTTGGTAAGCACAGTTAGATATATGGGTACAAATTTTAATCCCTTCTTTTGACATTGAACATAATTTCTGCAAGTAAGAAAAAAGAAAGACATACTTGGTAATTGTTATTCTAAATGAGTCAAGAAAGTTACCTGCTGGGACAGCTGGTGCTTCATTGCATTTCATTGTTCCGTTTAGACATTGGCTAGTCAAAGAAATTTTTTTAAAAAAGTTTAATAAGGAAAGCATTTTCCTGATGTCATTATTTAAACTTCTTATTACATCAGATTATTATGCTAATATTTATATTATTAACACAACTGCTGGAATTGGCAGTCACTCATGAAGATATTGCCTCAACTTCCCCCAAAGTTCCATCAGAGTTTTCCAGTTTTCTAAAGCATACAGGTCTGCTTGCAAAGTATAAAAAAGAAATTTCATACTAATTTAATTAAAGGCTTCCAAAGTTCTATTATTGTCAGGCAAGAAAGACCAGATCCATACATGAAGGTCCAATTAAATGGATTTATTGCTAAACAGCCTATGCACAGAAATCCTGTCAACTAACAGTTAGCCTCCTTGGAGCTACCGTAAATAAGGATCCATAGAATTCAAGAGGGATGGACTTTGTCTGCTTATGGCTACATAGGGATTCTAGGTTAATCTCTCTTTTAACTCCACCTCCAGGTTCTAGCATTCTTTCCCCTACATCTATGTTATTTAATTCCTTAGCTTTACATACCTAGTAATGATGCATGTAATTCAATTATCCATTGGACTTAAACATTTAAAGAAAAAACACAAAAACTACCAAGTGAATTGGACCCATAACCACTCTGAAGAAGGGCTAGATTTTTCCATATACTTTGTTTATCTGTCAGGACAAATGTATTGTATTCTGAAGATAAATCGATGGCTACCTACTGTATTTCTCAGTTATATTAAAATCTTACATCTGAATTGGGATCTACTCTGATGGTAGATTTAAGAGCACATAGACTAAATTGGCAGTAAAATCCCCAACCGTAATAGCTCAAAACAGCTGATTATGATGACAAAAGCCAAGGCCAATATTATAGCTCATAAAGTATACATGCCCTTTATGGAGTCTAGCTCATCTTTTTATTTTTAATGGATGTCCCACCATTTGCACCCTAAGGAGTATTGATAAATTTAATTATATATATATATATGGATGACTTTTAAAGCACAATGGGTAAATTTTTATCACAACCAACTCTTTCTTTAAGTTGCAAAATCTAGAAGGGCATCCTATAAATCATATTCCTAAGTGAATTCATTTGTAAAGTATAATAAAAGGTTAAGTGGTTTGATATATAAAAATAAGTTTACATTTCCATGGAAACATAAACAAACAGTTTTTCCTGTACTTGGCACAATAGTAAAATAAGTTTACTTGGCATATTGGATAGTAATCATACAGAAGTGGTTAAATGGTTAAGAAAGATGCATCCAGATGGCAAAATACGTCAGTTTTTATTCTTCCATAATAGTTCACAGTTTTACTATCATACTAAGTAAGAAAAAGCAGGAAATTATTTAGAGAAAACATGCTAAATTTATATAAAATTAAAACAGGCCTATATCTAACTCAAAAATTAAATGTAGAAAAAGTCAATCTACAAATTCAGTCAAAATGAAATTCTTCGTATCAAAACTTACCATGATCCCGATGGTGTGGGCAAAATTTCTCCAGGCTGAAAACTTCTGCCTTTATAATAACATCGACAGCTAGGCCTAATTTTTAAACAATATATTTTATTTGTTTATTATTATCTTGCCTTTCTTACTTTATGAATAACTCAAGACAACGAATACACTTAATACTCCTTCATCCTCTTATTCCCTCCCAAAAAAAAAACCAATTTGTAAAGTGGGTTGGTTGAGAGAGAATCACTGGCCCAAAGTCACCCAGCCAGCTTTCTCGTTTAAGGTGTGCTTCCCACTTTTTTCTCTTCATTATCCAAAACTGCTTATCAGAAAATTCTCTCCATGTAATGTAGGTAAAAAAACTTTAAGTCAGTTTAAATCTCACTGTTGTGATTGGATAGTGGGTTTGTGTGGTGGTGTTATCCCCCAAAACCTCACTTTTACTCAATTTTGAATAATTTACTCATGTTTGGGAAGCTCTGGCTTAGGTTCTGAGATCAACTTAGGTTAGATAGGTGCTGCCACCTGCTGAGGGAAAGGAAAGGAAAGGAAAGGAAAGGAAAGGAAAGGAAAGGAAAGGAAAACTCAGATTGTTACTCTTCCTGTTTTGTGAGTACTTTTATAGTTGGGAAATCCTTATAATTGCTGCAAGAAGTATTATTTTTCTCACTACAGATCATCATTAGTCTAGATGATCCTGACACGCCAATTTATATCTGCCTTATTTGGAGAATGGAATGCTACTTCCCCAATTTAGTATCGTAAAGCTGAATTTAGTTGTCCTACTGAAACTAAGTCTAGGCTCGTGTTTAATCCAAGCCCAGATCATCCGCAAGACTGCAAAACTGCACTTTGAGGCTTGCTTTGAAACCCCTGTCAGCATAGGTATGTACATTTACTTCTGAATTCATAATCTATACTTCTGGCCACAGATCCCTTTCCCAAACAAGTAGCTGAAATAAAAGTACGACTAAGAGAAAGATGGGACAAAAAACATCTCCTTGGAAATCTTGCGGTTGAACAAAATCTATATATCAGTATGCATAATATTACATGAAATGGTAACATCAGCAACCATATAAATATATTAGATTGGGAGAGGTTCATCCCCAGCATAATGCATATTTTGAAAATTAATGCAAAAAGACCACGCTTAGGTTGGGGGTAGTTACATGTGAAACATTATGAGTTAACTTCAGCCTTTTGCTTTACAAAATAATGTCAGGGAGATTTATGCTAAAAACCATGCCTATTAGTGAAAGTTAGATAAAAATGTCAGCGTTGTGGAGAAAACTGGAGATGACATATAGATGCAGATCAATCTGTTCAAAATAAATCTGTTAAAAATGGTCCTGATTACTAGCAGAGGCTATTAAATAAAATAGATTTATATTGATTCGCATATTCATAGACTGAAGTTATGACGAAATACCTTCTGTTGCTAAAACGAAAAGGCCAGCAGAACCGCTCATCTGAATAAAAGGATGATAATGTCATTTGGGCGATATTAAATTCTATTGTGCAGTTGGCACTTCCAACCCATTTGCGTGGCCCTACAAGGGACCACAGAAATAGGAATAGAAAAACACTAGCAATGTTTGGCAGGTTGCACCCAAATAGGTGTTCAAAATGATTTTTTTCCCCTGTGACTAATTACTCTTGCATTTAAGTTCCTGTATGACAAAACCTTCCCATGTAATCGCTGATTCCTTGTCTAGAATTGCCCATCCATCAATATCTTTATTTGATTAAAGGTTTCCTTCAGCAGAATGTCCCCCAAATTTGCTCCAGGAAGGTCTAATTTAGGAGGCTAACTCGACAGCTCTAATGGCTATAATTACCTTTATTATGATTAAGATTCACTCCAGGAGAAGTTGTGTTACAGGAATGTCTGTACAAAGTATTTATCAGAATACATACCCCACATCTAATGAAGAATTTATAAAAGGGCATGCTATAAAGGGCGTGCTATAATAAGCTGCACGAAGAAACTCTTCTGAGTGACACGGGAGGAGATAAAACTGTCTTTGAACAGGGAATAATTTCCCAAATCATATGCCAGCTCTGTCACCCAAAAAAGGCAATGAGTGTGACATTTTCTCAAACATCTCAGCTTTTACGTAAATCTCTACTCTACTCTACTCTACTCTACTCTACTCTACTCTACTCTACTAACTACATTAGGGTTACCAACATTGAATCATAGGTTGGAAGGGACTTCGGAGGTTTTGTAGTTTAACCTCCTGACCAATGGTCTTATACCATTCCGCGCAACTGGTTCTCCAAACTTCTCTTGAAACCTTCAGCAATGAGGGACCCATAACTCCTGGAGGGAACCCATTCAATTGATTAATCCAGGGGTCGGCAACCTTAAACACTCAAAGAGCCATTTGGACCTGTTTCCCACAGAAAAGAAAACACCGGGAGCCACAAAACCCTTTTGACATCTAAAAGGAAGATAACACTGCATATATCATTTTTTTACCTTTATGCTATGTATAAAAAAATTTATTTATCCATGGTTGGCTTACTGGGGGTTGAAAAGCTCAATAAATTGTGTGCCGGCAGGTGTCGCACATTGACAGTTGTGACACATATTTTGAGTGACAGGAGCTGCAGCAGAGGGATGAAGGAGCCACATGCAGCTCCAGAGCCATGGGTTGCTGATCCCTGGATTAATCGGTCCCACTATCAGGAAATTTCTCCTTACTTCCAGGTTGGATCTTTCTTTAATGAGCTTCTACCCATTGTTTCTTGTCTTACCCTTAGGAGAATTAGTTGACCGCCTGTCAGACTTCGATGCTATCTCAAAATAAATGAATTTCCAAGCTGCCAATCTTTAAGGAAATTTTCTCTTTATTCGAGTACAGCAACCGGATCATGGCTTGTGCGGTCAGGACTGACCTTTGCCCCCCAATCCCTCCCTTTCCGATCCCCAATTCTCTGCTTCTCATTGGCTATCTTCCAAGTCACTCTCCTGACTCCTTTTCTCATCAGTTCACAGGAATGTTCCCCCCTCTTCATTTCCAAGGAGACCGAGCTTCAAAGAGATTTAGCAGGCAAAAGTTCAGGCTTTATCTCCCTTGTCTATGTCAGCGCTGAGACGCTGACACTGCTGACACACTGCCTCTTCTCTGTGACAGCCCCTCAAATACTGGAAGACAGCTATCACGTCATCACTAAATCATGCCTTCATTAGTCTAAAACATACCTAATTCCTTTAACCATTCATCATGTGACTTAGCCTTATCATTTTTGTTGTTCTTCTCTGCATTCTTTATCATCACTAGCCATTCACAACTGAATGATTAGTCAGGAACAGCAAGAATTAGAAATCCCCAACTATCATGCTCCTTCCTAAGAATTCCGGAGAATGAATTTACGCGTATGGAGGCCATTTACATTTGAGAAGACTTTTCTATATCTGCCCACTTAGGATATGAGGACCCCCTTTTGACTCCACATATATGGCAAAGAAGAATAGCAAGCACACATACAACTGATGGCCAGGAAAAGATGTTAGAGGTGCTAGAGAGAAGTTCCTTGAAGATAGGCTCCAGCAAGAGTCAAAAAGCTTGGAAGCCAAAACCTCTGGTCCCAGTGATCTTCTACAAGAAAAGATGTTCTGTCTGTCTGTCTGTCTGTCTGTCTGGCTGGCTGGCTGGCTGGCTTCTGACATCTGTCAGGGTGGCTTATGGCAACTCGAGAGCAAGCCAGGGATGCTTTGCGAGTTGACACTATCATTCTTCTATCTATCATCTATCTATTTTTATCTATCTATCTATCTATCTATCTATCTATCTATCTATCTATCTATCCATCCATCCATCCATCTATCCATCCATCTATCATCTATCTATCTATCATCTATCTATCTATCTATCTATCTATCTATCTATCTATCTAATCTATCTATCAACCTATAATGTAATTTTGTTGCTTGTATCCTTACGATTTATATTGATATTGTTTCCTGATTGCTTCTTTGTACTCTATGACTATCATTAAGTGTTGTACCTTATGATTCCTGAGGAATGTATCTTTTCTTTTATGTACACCATAAAAGAGCATATGCACCAAAGACAAATTCCTTATGTGTCCAATCACACTTGACCAATACTCTACTCTACTCTACTCTACTCTACTCTACTCTACTCTACTCTACTCTACTCTACTCTACTCTACTCTACTCTACTCTATTCTATTCTTTTTAACCATCCAACTCTCTCAGATGTAAGAAAGCCAAGGTAGAACATCTCCCAAATTATTGACTTCTAATAAATAAAACAATCTGCAACCTTAAAATACTCACTGTGTTTCTAATAGTTCGTAACTATGCAACCCTGGGCTGGGTTTAGAGGCTCTAGTATCAGATTATTTATTGAAATAGAGTCTGTTGGTCTTGTGTGGGATCTATGCTTTCACACTGTGTTGTTGGTGAAAATAACATTTCCTTTCAATTGTAGCTCGCTACTGGTAGTTGTTATAACCTCTTACCCTGCTGTTAGCTTTTCCCTGTGGTCTTCTATCCAAATTATAACCAAGTACGGTTCTGATCAGCCAAGATTGACTAAGTGGTTCTATCGATGAAGACTCTGAATAGATAAATGATCAATATCTGTTTCTTCCTTGCATATAAGAAGCTTAACTGCAGAAACAACTGGCTAGCTAGAGGGAGAGAGGGAGAGGGAGATACATACACACAAGTGTTTTCAGACCACTTTAGCAAACCGTTTGAGACACTTATCCATGACTCCAAATATAGTGGGCGAAAAAAAAAATCAATGAAATGTGTTGTATCCCTCATTGATTAAGACTAGCCCAAAGCATTGTGTGAAAAAATAAATGTGATTTCTTTTCAACGTCGGCTCATTGAATTCTGACTTTTTCAGATTACTTCTTTTCCCTTTGGAAACTGCTCCATTATTCACTAAAAAAACCCAAAAACAAATAAATGAACGAATAATCCTATAAAGAGGGGAAAGGTATTCCTGTTATCGAGGCAAATGATTAAATAACTTAATTTACAGAAACCTGACACAAGTTAGACAGTTTTAAAAGGCCGATTATCCTGAGAGGGAGTGGAT